AAAGTATCTCCAATAGAAAAGAAATCCATGGAATCTCTAACTAATATAATATTAGTAGTACCTCCTAGGGGTGGAATTATTATCTGGGATCCGAGATCCGATCCGTTATCCATTCGGAATCGCTCCGAAAATTAGGATATCCGGAGAGTTCGGATCCGGATAGCAAAATTTTAAGGTCTGGATATCCTGACCCGGATCCGGACGCATTAAATATATTAAAACCATATATATTATATATCTATTAAAATAATTTTATATAAATAAATATATATAATAATTGAGTTTAGTTATTTTTATAATAAATTATATTTATAATGAAAAAATACCATTTAAAATATTAACTAATAATTTTAAAAAATATATTTTTATTTATTTATTAATTATTTTAATTATTTTTAATATTAATTTCGGATCCGGATCCGGATATCCGCGGATATCCTGATTTTTGGAAAGATTCCTAGAGCCGGAATATCCGGAGGTCACGATTCCGGATCCGGATAGTTTTTTCACGGATCCGACAATTCCGGATCCGAATCCGGATACTCTGAAATTTCAGGATATTCAGAATCGTCCCACCCCTAGTATCTCCAATAGAAAAGAAATCCATGGAATATCTAACTAATATAATATTAGTATTTTTAATATTTTTTAGTTGGAGATAGTTATCTCAATTCTTCTCTTCCAATGGTAAAAATTTCATGTAGTCTTTAAAACATAATTTTAATATAAATAATATAGTTTATTAATATCTTAAAAATTATTTTAATAAATAAAAACATAAAATTACAAAGCATAAACTTATAATAAATAAAAATTTAAAAATTTAGAAAAGATAAAATATTTAAAATCTCAAAATACAATTTTAATTTTTTACATCTTGTATTTTCTAATATATTAATATAATACTATTAACTAAAATATTACTAATTTCATTATTATTGTATAAACTTTAATTAATATCAAATAAAAATAATAAATATATAATTTAAATATATACATAATGGAACTTAATAAATAGATAATTTTATTTTGGGATTTATAAAAAAAAAATAAAATATAAAAACTAACACCATACAAACTATTTAATTATTGTTTTCCATTATTGTCTGAATCAATGGTATAATGTCATGTGCCCAAGAAATGAGTTCCTCATGGGTTCTTCATGGAGAATCTATTCTCCTTTTTTTTTTAATTAAGAGAACCTCTCTTAGAATTTCTTCTAAAACCTCCATTGGAGATGCCCTAAATTTTTCAGTTTGTTTTATTTTCTACGAAGAACCGTATTCGAAAATTTGGTAGTTCCTCGCATTCCACAGTGCCCAACATAGCCACAAAAAGTTCTCAATCTTTGAGATATTTCTATAGAAAATGGTTTATACTGGGTGGATTGGATAATTGAAACGTAATTAGTATCTTTTCATAAACATATATATGCTTCTTTAGCTTTTTTTTTGGTTAATTGTATTAATTTTTCGTAGGCAAATTGCTTTTAGCTGACGCTGAGTGGTCATATTTCCACGTTATGTACCTTTTGTGCAAGTTGAGTACCTCTTTTAGGAGAAATCATCTCAAAAGGACTCATATCTCAAATAAAAATCTCAAAACTCTCCTTTTTAAAATGATTTTTTGTTTTAATTAATTCTAATCCAAAAAATAGGTAAGTTACCTCGTTACCCTAGCCGAAACATAAGAATTACATCTTATACCTGGCTTTTATCCGTCCAACCATTTGAAATCGGATCTAAACCGCCGACCCGAGAAAATCTCAATCAAATCCCTAAATTTTTCGGCGAAATCAAAACTGTTACTCTCAAAATCAAAACCGTTCTTCGTTCTCTCTCTCTCTCTCGTCAAACTAGGGATCTCAATTTCTAACTCGAGCCCTCTCGAATTGATATCTTCTCTCGATTCAATATGGTGCGAACGATAAAATTGGCGAAAAGGAAGAGAAAGAAAGATGGGAAAAGCTCTGTTCCGGTGGCGGAGGAAGTTGGAAGGAATGAAGGAGGAGAAGTTGGTCTTAGTTCAGTTTCGGCGGCTGAGGCGGAGGAAGTTGGAAGGAATGCAGGAGGAGAAGTTGGTCTTCCGGCGACGGCCACAAATGTTGAGGAAGAGGAAGGTCGCACGGAAGTTGAAAAAATGAATGAAGAAGGAGAGGAAGCTGCAAGGGTTCATGCGTGGATTGAGAGTGAAGAAGAAAAAGAAGACAACGAGTCTCCTAAGGTATTTCTCAAGAGGGCGGCCAGAAAGAGGAAGAGAGGAGGAGTTCGGAAAACGAGTTCGCGGAAGAAAAGCTCGAAGCCTATTGTTGAGGAGGTAGTGGGAGATGATAGGAAGTTATCTCCGGTTGTTGAGAATCAAGAAGAAGATAATGAAGATGAGAGGGAGTCTCCGGCTCCTCCGGCCGAGTCGTCAACCAACTCGGGCGACTCCAGCGACGGAATGGTAAGTAGTTAAAGAGAATCGAAATTGAATAGGACTATATGTATTGGTAAAACTG